GACCCCTGACCCTGCTGCCCCCACCTCCTGCATACTGAAATTACAGTCACCACCTCGACTAGTTTTACTTAGTACGGGGGACTGACCCCTGGGTTTCATACACCTAGGTAAGAACTCTAACACCTGGGCTACTCCCCAGCCTCTCTGTTTTTCAGGTTTATTGGTTGGATGTGTTTTTAAACAGGGTCTCTTTGTAAGCCAAGCAGGCTTCAAATATGCTATAGAGCCAAAGATAGCCTTACAATCTTAATCTTCCCACCTCTACTCTGAAAACATGAGGCTTACAGACATGTACAACCTACACCTGGCTTTTATATATGAGACTTTTAAATTTAAAGAATATATATGTCATTAATTGTTTCCATTGTCTACCTTTACAAAGAGAGATTTAATATCAATAATGTTCCATTTATTCCATACATTTTGGGTTATTTTACAACTTGCCTCTTCGTGTATCAAACTATTACTTATAAGCACTCTGATGAAAATCTTCACCTCATGAACACACATGAAATTCTTTCTGATTCCTATCCTCTAGTGTGTGGCCCAGTACCTACCATGACTATTACACAGGCTTCCATCAACCCTGCTATACCATGCATGAGCTGCAGGGAGCTGCCTCCATGCCCATTGCTCTACTGTTCCTAGCTATGAGCTAATGGCATAACCCTACAAGAGACATCACTCTGTCTCACCAAGCTCACACTTCAGCTGGAAATCCCAAGTTCAAGAGCAGGAAGGACAAACATTGAAGGAGGAGAGACAGGCAGCTATGGATGCTAAATTCACACCTATAAGCCAGACATGGTGGCTCACACATGAAATCCCATCACTCAGAAGGCTGAGACAGGAAGCCTGCTGTGAGTTTGAGGTCCCCCCGGCCAAAAAACACAGTGGGACTCTGTCTCCAAAAAAAAAAAAAAAAAAAAAAAAAAAAAAAAAAAAAATGAGAATGGCCATACTTTCCTCTCAGTGCCATATGGGAGGGAGGCATTTGGGCTCAAACTAAGGTCCAGAAGAGGGGCAGGCAGGGGGTTAGGCCAAAAGTGGTGACTCCCGGCATATGTACCTCTACACAGACAAATGCTACTTAAGACAACATAATCAATCTCATTGAATTAGACATTTAGGAACAGCTCATCAGGACCTTCTGTGCCCCAGACAGGCAATTCTTACTCCATCATTGCAGTTTTGCTTCTCTGCTTTTTTTTTTTTCAATTATGCCTCCAAAGGAGCACATTACTGTATTTATATATAACAGATTGCCAAAACAGTTAAAGATGTCAGATGTCAAAGCAGTTCATCTTTTGTTTGGGGGTTTTTTGTTTTTTATATGTTTAAAATATTTTTTTCCCTGTTAGTGAGCCAAGTAGATAAAGAAACCACAGAAACCTCATGCCCGGAGCCTTCATGTTACCAACCAGCACCTGGGCTCTGTTTATCCAGGAAGAAAGGCTAGTCCAGCCCCATATACATGGGCTATTATTGTTGTTACAATGTCCAGCATAAAGTAAGCCTACTGAGGAGATCTCTAATACTAACTCTACAAGAAAGGCCTGCAGCTTTCTTCCCAAATACTTCAGAAAATGTGGAAAGATGTATTTCCCTGATATTCTACTTTCTTCGCTCTTGTGAGATCTCCTTACTTCCTTTTATCCTGAAAAAAAAAAAAAGAAAAAAGAAAACAAAACCTGCTTGCAACTGACTTTATTAAACAATTATGAGGCCAGGTGAGGTGGCCACACTTTTAATACTAGCACTCAGGAGGCAGAGGCAGGCGGATCTCTGTGAATTCAAAGCCAGCCAGGCCTACAGAGCGAGTTCCAGGACAGCCAGGGCTACACAGAGAAACCTTGTCTCAAAAAATAAAAACAAAAAGCTTATGAGAGGAGACTTTATTATAACCCTAAAATAGTCCAAAGGCGCCCAAGTTGAATAAAACAAGAACAACTCCCAACTCGCCTGTCACCCCAGCTCAACTAAACCACCCTCACGTCACAGGGAATTGTTGAGAAAGCACACAAAACAGTTTTAATCCGACATCACTTTCAGGCTGACCCCAGTTCTTCCCAGGCTGAAAGCATTTACTCAGGTTTTTCAAGGATTCAGTGTTAAATATTCTCAAATTTAGAAACATTCCAACTCTATCTTCCCATTATTTTTTTAACTACCATACTAGTATCCTTTATAGTTTCACATAAGAAAAGGGGATCGGCTTAAATCACAGAAAATACATAGAGAGCAAAAAGGCCTTGTGCACACGGATGAGCACTGCAGAAGCCAGGGAAAATTAAACATATAGCTCATTTCTCCAAAGGGAGAAGATATTTAGCTGTTTCTCCTGGAACGCTGGGGAAAATTTAGTTTACAACCTGGTAATGCTTTGCTACCTGTTGGGCCAGGATCTGCCCAGATCCCCCAGAATATTGTGCTTGCTTATCCCAGACTTTCCCCCTAAAACCTTGAGCTTTACTTCTAGGCCATGAGACTCCTCCTTGTGAGAGATGTCACCTGCACTTTACAACAGACTAAGTGATGTCTGTGTTATCTCAGGGCCAGGCCAATACTGACTCCTACAGGCATTAAGTTTACCTTAGAGGCCCTTATCCTGAACAATGTTTCTAAGACAAGAAACCATCTTACAGATGAAGCTGTATGTACTTTGCTAAGAACTTCAATGTAAACATGTCTTAAGCTTTGCCATAGTCATTTATCTGAGTACTTTTTTCAAAATCATGCCATGCTTAAATATGGCTAAAGTGATCTGGGCCGGACTCTAAGAAGTCTTGGCCCAGCACTGGTTACCAAAATCATTCTTCCCTGACCATG